TCAAGTGTGTAAATACAGAGTATTTGTTTGCAGGACAGAGGGGAAGCACTAATAACTCAGGGAATCCTGGTGGGCCTCTTAGAAGAAGTGGTCCTTCTACCAAGTCTTGAAGTCAAGAAGGGGCTCTAGGAGTTGGAAGTAAGGATGAAGGGGGGGGGGTTGCAGCAAAGGCAGGAGGTGCGAGGTGGAACACACTGAGTGGGGAATGTCAAGTGAATCAGTTCCAGGGAGCTGGCCATAGCATGTGATGAGAGGCATAAATGTGTTGTCCAAGTGAGAAGACTTGGCCATTGATTAGATAGAGGAGATCAATGAAAATGAAGAGTCCAACATGACTCCAAGGTTGCAAACCTGGGGAAATGAGAGGAGGGTGGTATCTTCCACAGAGGAGTTAAATTGGGAGGTCAGGTAGTCTTAGGAGGAAATATAAAGGGTTCTCCGTGGAGCACGTTAAGTTCAAGAAGCAAACAGAACATCCTGATGGAGATGTCCATTAGACAGTTGGTCTCCTGGAGCTCAGGAAAGAGACAAGGGCTAGATACAGAGATCTGGGCACCATCTGCATGAAGATGATAATCAAACCTGTGGGGACAGATGTCATCACTGAGAGGGGGCGGCTATGGTGGGTACCTCTGGGGTATTCTGATGGAGACACAGAAGAACTGGAGGAATTGTTGTGGCATTTTATGCACTGTGATTCATTGATCTAAATGTAAGTCATTACAAAGCAAATTTATCTGGTAGAATTGATGCTTAATGTTATGTTCATAATAAATATTTTAAGACTACATGAAAAAACTTAAAGTGAATATCAGTAAGAAAAGTGAGATTTTGGAAGTCTTTCAAGGAAGCTCCCTTCCCAAAGACCATAAGAACTTTATCATTAGAAGGCTCTAAAGACAAGTTCAATGAAGCATTTGCGATTACTCAGCAAAAACAAGCCTTCTCATTGAAATGATGTATGTAATAACTTTTCCACCTTTACTAAGATTCCATCATGCAGGGGCTAGCTATTATTTTAATGAAAACTCATTAAAAAATACAACTGATTACCAAAGAGAAAAGCCTCCTACCCCAAGTGTAAAGAGCTGATTTTGTCTCTGGGGTTAATTTATACTGGATCCCTTTGGGTCCGCCCCATTCCTCTGTTAGCCTAATTGTTCATAAAGAGAAAACAAAGTCAGCTTCGTGTTGGTGTCTCCAAACAGGGATGCTCCCAAGCTGAAAATCCACAAAGTATCGGCTAGCCACCGATCCTGGTCTATTAAATCCTTCTAAGTCACGAGATCATTCTCGACAAGTAGGTCCTGGGTGATTCTTCACCATGCAGGGAGTGATAGAATGGAAGCTCCTTGAGGGGCAGGAACTGCTTTTGTCTTTCTTTTACAGGGAATGTGTGTTGTCTACGAGGGTTGTGTACGAGTCCACTTGGGTTTGTCTAAAAATGGCTTACAGAGATCTCTCCCTGAAGAAACCCTGGAACCTTGTGTGCCCTCTCCCCAAGCTGGAAGCCAGAAAAAGAAGCTCTCTTGAGCTCTTGCTAACTCCACCCCTCACACAGGTACTGAGCAATAGTAATTATCCTTTCTGCCAATGAAAAGTCTCATGCCAGTGCTCTGGCTCGAGCCCAGGGTTACGCTTTAAAAAAACAATAGCTAACATTTACATAACACCTGCTACATGCTGAGCACTATGCTAAGCACTTAATAATTATTATCCCATTTGAACCTCAACAATCCTGGGAGCTGCTGTTATTAGCCCCATTTTACAGTTGAGGAAACTGAGGCAGACACAGGTTCAGTGACTAGCCTGGCGTCATACAGCTAGTAAGTGTCTGAGGCCAGATTTGACCCCAGGCCTTCCTGACTCCAGGCCCAGGGTTCTGTCCCTGTACCCCCAGCTGCTCCTATGTAGCGTTGATATCCCAACATCTAGCCCAGTGCCTGGCACATAGGTCCTTAACAAATGCATCTTGATTAATTACTTGACCTATTACCATTGGGGAATCCAGGATTTCTGGCAGTTTGCAAAGTCATCTCCTCCACCACCCATCATGAAGCCTCCAAGCACCATGACTTTGTCCAAGGTGCAGAACAAATTACTCTCCACCAAAATGCAGCCCGCGCCATTCTTCCTTTCCAGTAGGAAAACCTCTGCCCTGTCTTCCTGACAGAACAAACAAAGCCAGAGGTCATTTAATCCAGCTACACCTAAGTAAGATTCTCCATGTAACATACTCGACAAGAAGTAATCAATTTCTCTCCCTCTCCCCCCCTTTTCCTCCCTCCCTCCCTCCCTCTTCCACCCTCCCTCTGCCTCTCCCTCTCTTCTTCTCTCCCCTCCTCCTCTCCCCTCCTCCATCCCTCCCCCCTCTTTCTCTCTCTTCCCTCTCCTTCTCTCCCTCCTTCCCTCTCCCTCTCTCCTTCTCTCCCCTCCTCCTACCCTCCCCCCCTTTCTCTCTCTTCTCTCTCTCTCTATCTCCCTCATTCTCTCTCCCTCTCCAGGCAATTCATTCCACTTTGAGATAACCCTAGGTTACAGAAAGTCTATCCTTATAGAAATCTACTTCTACCCATTGCTGCTATTTGCAAAGAGCCTTAGCAGGATGAATTTAATGCCCTCCCCACCCCATTCTGCAAAAGTGATTTTTCTAAAAGTTAAATCTGACCTTGTCCCCACAATCCCCCTGCTCAGCAAGCTTCAATGGCTCCCTAGTCCCTCCAGGACCAATTATACACTCCATTTGACATTGAAAACCCCTCCTAACCTGGCCACTTCATATCTTCCAGTCTTCTAAATCATTAATCCTTGTTATATACAGTGTATAAATATATGTGTGTGTGCACACATACATATACACATACATGTCCACATACATGTATATATATGTTTTAAATCTCTCATTCTTTCTACACGTGTGTATATATATGTATGCACATGTTATGTGTACACGGCTGTTTGCATGTTGCCTTCCCCAGTAGGATGTAAACTCCCTGAAGGCAGGGGCTGCTCATGCTGTTTTTATGCCCTCTGCTTACCACAGCGCCTGGCACACAGTGAGCTCTTAGTAAATGACTGAATGTTGCTGACTCTCCCACACTGTCAGCCAGTCCTTCAGATCCCTGGCACGTCCCACCTCAATGTTCTCTTTTTCCAGGCTTATAATCCCCAGTTCCTTGACCATATCCTCATGAGGCCTGAGCTCAGGCCTTTTGCCCTCCTGGCTGCCTGTCCAGCTTATCATCCTCCTTCCTCCCCCACCACTGACCACACATTCTCCTGGCTGTTATCAAAGGCTGTCCTGTAAGGATAGAATGGGGGGAATGACCCAGCAAGAGTTATTTTAAATACTTTCCAGCCTGTTGTAGCTAAAAATTGTTTTAACAGAAACTTTTTCTCTTTGAAATAACCTCCATGTCATCTTGAAAATTCCCCAAGGAGCAATGACCCAAAGGGGGAACTTCCAGACATATGGAGAGTTCACTGAAAAACTAGGGAGACCAGGAGATTCCTCGGCGAGCATCGCCCCTCATGCCTGGCCGAGCAGACTCCCCTCAGAGTGGAAGCATGGAAGATTCCATGCCCACCTCTTGGCATCCCTAGCTGCCTTCCCAGCACAGATCAGGGCTGCCCACACAAAACCTTTCCCAGTTTCCTCCCTGTGAAATTACTCTGTATTAACATCTCTCTCCACACACTAGGCACCAAAGAATCATAAGAGTTGGAAAGACCTCCGATGCCATCAAGTCCAAATCCCTCTCCCATTCTACAGATGACAAAACTGAGGTCACATAGATAGTATCAAAAATTAGGATGTGAACCTGTTGTCTGACTGCAGAACCAGTGACTGCCACAGGGGCATGCAGACTCCCTACAGCCTGCGCGAGCCTCGGGGGAAAGGGTGGCCTTGTCTGTGCATGCTCCACAGCCAGTACAGCACCATACATGTGGTAGGTGTTCAATCAACATTTTCTGAATTGAACTGAATCCCTTACCTTCTCCGAGGCACTGAGCCTTTTGAACCTGGACTGATTCCATTGCATCAAAGATTCACAACTGTCCCTCTAAGTTCACTCTCTCAAATATATCCCCTTTGCCACAGAGGAGGGGATCATTGTGATATGTTTTGGATGAACAACACAGACCACTTATAACCAGTCTCCCTGACCCTAGCAAGGCTGGTCCTCAGACTACAGCCACTCATGCAAGGTTGTGTCAGGTCAGGATTAGAAACCCTTTCAGTACCTCCCAGAGGGGCCGTTCTGCTGGAGTTGGCCTCAAAACCCAGGACTATTGCCGTCCAAGTGAATGAGGACTGGATTTGGGAGTTGGAGGATCTAATCCTGGCTCTTTCTAGGCCTCAGTCTCCCCTTCTGTAAAATGAGTGAAAGGAAGGAAGGAATGGAGGGAGGGAGGAAAGGAGGCAGGGAAAGAGGGAGGTGGGGAGGAAAGAATTAAGAGAAAGAGGAAGGCAGGAAGGAAGAGAGGGAGGGGGAGAGAAGAAGAGGAAAAGAGGAAAAGGGAAAGAGAGAGAAAGATACAGAGCCAGAGCCAGAGTGAGGGAGAGACAGAGACAGAGACAGAAAGGGGGGTGGGGAGAGAGAGAGAGAGAGAGAGAGAGAGAGAGAGAGAGAGAGAGAGAGAGAGAGCAGAGTCAGAATTTTGAAAGGTCTAGGCTAAATCAAGGGTCCAATCTAATAAGCTCAATTGTAATAAGCAACAAGTCTCACACTTGAGGTCAGGAAATTGATTTCACAAGTACAACATGAAGGAAGTAGTGGCTTGACAGTAATAGCCTGAAAAAGATCTGTGGGTGTTAGTGGACCACAAGGTCAATACCAACCAACAGTGTGTGAAATGACTACCCTAAATCCTAACGGTTACCTTTGACTCCACTGAGAAATGCTAGGAACCTGGCCCTAGGGAAGGGATCTTCCACTGTCTCTGCCCTGATCAGACCCCCACGGGAGTGTCTCTTCAGTGTGAGTACCGTATTTGGGGAAGGACACTGCTGAACCGCAGCACATGCAGCAGGAGACAATGAGGATGAGCCTCGTTGAGGGGCCATGACAGCTATCCTCAAGTACTTGCAGGGCCCACGTGTGGAGGTGGGACTACATTCTTTCCTGGACCCAAAGGAGAGAATCCAAAGCAAAGAGCTGAAGTTCCAGAGGGGCTCACATGCCCTTGATGTCAGGAAGAAAATCCTAAAAGCATCCCTTTTAGGCAGGGAGTGGGCCTCTTCCTGCGTTAGTGAGCTCCCTGTCACTGGAGGATTCCCCCAGAGGCTGGGAACACCATGGAGGGTGTTCAGGTGCAGGCCATGATACACCCGCGCCCCTGCCCTCTCTAAGATTCCAGAGTCCTGGGCTTGGAGACCAAGACAGAGCAGAGCAGGGAGAAAGCAAAGAAGAGGCTCGGACCCGCGGAGGAGCCTCGGGAGGGAGCTCCGCGGGGGGAGAACAGGAAGAGTCCTGCGTTGGTCGGGTCACATCTGAGGCCGTGGCAGGACGTCCAAGAGGAAATCAGCCCCAGCTTTGCGCGCCGTCCAAAAAGAGGCGCTGGGAGCCGGGCCTTCTGGGAAGGAGGACGCTGCGTCACTTTCCAAAAGTGACGGTCTGGGTCATTTTTTTTTTCCCGCTGAGCACAAATTCTCCTAAAACTATTTTGTCTCGTGCATACTAAGTTGCCTGAAAAACAGTGATGGAGAAACCAAAGCTGATCTATTTTGTGTGTGTGTGAGTCATTGTGGGGGATTTAGCAGGTTCTGGGGTTAAGGCTGGAAACGTCCCCGGAGGTCTTGGGGCCCAAACCCCTCCTTGTACAGCTTAGGAAGCCGAGGAAAAGAGAGGAAAGTGGGCAAGGTCCCACGGAAACTAAGAGCCAGGATTAGAACCCAGCTCATCTCACTCTTACACCCTGGGATACCTCCAGGCTCAGTTTTGCCTTCCTTGGGCAGGGGAAGGGGTTCTGAGGAGCAGGCCCATGTTTCGCTTTGGGGGAGGGAGGAGTAGAAAAAAGAAACAATTCTCCCTCTGCTCCGGCCCCTGCCAAGGTTCTTCAGTGGTCTAGCCTCCCTCCCTGGATGCTAAAAGGCCACACTCATTTTGGGGTCCACACCACCACCCAAATGGCCATCTACTCCGTTGTAAGCCTGCGCTTCAAAACCCTTCCTGTCTCTGCCAGCTAAATGTGAGACACTGCGGAACTGACCAGCTTCCACCCTCTTTCGTCGAGGGCCCGCATGACATGATGAGGCCCCCTTCCCCTAGATCCTGGCTCAAAGAGACCTCGGTTCTCTGTCCGCTTCCCTCTGGTCCTCTGGAACTCTGGCAGAAAAGGAAAGGTGGTGGGATGTAAAGGAGTGGGTGGGGCCCTCAGAGTGACGCCTTTGGGGCAACTCTACTTGAGGAACTGCAGCCTGGGTTCTGGAATGCCTTTCCAGCCTTCAGTCTCCCTCCCCGGTGTCTTCCTGCTGAAATTCACCCGTGCCTCCTCCCTCCCCGGCCTGACTCCTTCAGCCCAACTCCCTTGGGTCCCTTGAAGCCTTCCCTATCTCCCTTCCTCATCTGCTCCCTTAAGGCACTGGTTTGCACCAGGCTAAGATACCCACCGGTTCGACTCTTTATTATACTGATTCGGAGGCTGGATCCGCCTCATCCTACCTCAACGACTTTGGCCAAGTCACTGATTTCTCTCCGGGCTTCGTCGGAGGATTGAGGGGATGGAGTAGGCAGGCTCAACGTCTCTTCCTCCTCTAGACCTGGCTAGGGCTTCCATGGTAGCCTAAGATTTACAGAGCACTTTACAAACAACATCTCATTTTATCCTCCAGGCAACCCCGGGAGGGAGGTGCTATTCTTATCCCCACTTTACAGGTGAAGAAACTGAGGCAGACAGCGGTCAACTGACTTGCCCAGGGTCACACAGCTAGTAAGTATGTGGTCTTCTTGACTCAAGTCCAGCACTCTGTTCTCTGAACCACATTGCTGCCTCCAAGAAAGGAGCCCCTGCCCCAGCTGGACCCCCCCCAACACTGTTATCTCCTCAAGGGCCGAACTTGAGACACAGCCAGAGGACCTGGGTTTGAATCCCAACTCAACCACTTAACCACCAGACTCCAAACCTTCATTTTCCGGTCCTCAGTTTCCTCATTTGTAAGATGGCAGTGTTGGACTGGAGAGTTCTTCCAGCTCATAAAATCTACAAGCCCATCTGTAATCTACCCATCGCCTTCACAGCCCAGCCTAGACCAGCAGAAGGTCGAGAAACGTTTGCTGAAGGAACAAGTGGATGGCAGTTTGCCACTGGCCCATGCAGTGAGAAAGGTGAGAGCTGGAGGCTTGAGCCCAAAGGGGCCTTGCCGGTCCAGCTTCCTCATATTGCAGATGAGGCCCAGAGAGGAGTATGGGGCTTTGAGGAAGGTGGCGACAGTGGGAAGACACAGGACTACACAAATAAAAACAACCCCGAATCAAACCTAACCCAACACCACGCCCTTATTTTTATTGAGGTCGCTGAAGGCTGAGGAAGCTGAGTGGTTTTGATCGGGGTCACACAAGTAGCAAATCCACTGGGCTTTTCCAATGTAGTACCACACTGGGTTTCCTGGCTAAGGCTGAAAAACAAATTTTCCCCACTTGTGACTGAACAGAATGGGGGGGGGGTTCATTCTGCTGCAGACAAGACGATTCAGACGAGCTCACTGTCCCCAAAGAACGCTAGGCACATCCTTCCTCTTAGACATGAGATGTCACCCCAAGTGCAGAACATCGGAAGCTGTGAAATAGGCCCTTTCAAAAGATAAGCTCCTGCCTAACCACACGACGGCTGATGGGTGTCCTTGCCTCACTTGAATCTGAACTTTCGGGCACCTGCATTTCCCGGGTGTGGTTGATGTGTCGTAAGTGCCTGAAAGGGGTGCTACGAGGACCCAAGGAGGCCCCAGCCACTCACATCACTTACCTGGAAGAGTTCAAAGAAATCCTCATGAGAAACAGTAAGAACCTTATTTGGGTTGCCTGGTTGGTTTTGTGATGTGTGTTAGCTTTCTTTTCTCCGCATCAGCACCATCTTCTCAACCTGGAAATGTCTTCATCTAACCATCATCTCATCAGAAGCTCATCAGAAACACATCTGTCCTTCCCCAGATTTGCATCTCCACATTGACCAACGAGACATTTTCTTAATCTCATGGTCTCCTGCTTCCCTCCCAGACCTCGATCCATCAGTTATCCCCTGTATCCTATATAACACCTCCTCCAGGGCCACTCCCCCACCTCCCACTCACATTGGCAATCCCAGTTCTCAGAGAGTGGCTGCTGCTACTTACCAGGGTTAGCCCTGAGAAAGGTAGGTTTCTAATACTGTCATTCACGAGCCCCCTTGGGTATGCTCTCCATTTATTATCCCCTAGTACCTTCAATACTCCTTTAGAGAGAGACTTTAATGAGAAGATAGAGTAGGCACTGTCTCTTTCCATCTGCCTCCCAACCAAATCTGCTCTCCCATAACCACCAGAGACAAGGCCCTTTTCTCAGTCCTGCTTTTGTGCACCATTCAATGTCATTAATATGCTTCTTCTTGAAATATTCTCTTTCCTTCTTTCTAGGATACAGCCTTCTTCAGGTTATCACCATTCTTTTCTCTTTCTTTCAATGGATCGAAGTCTTTCTTCTGACTTCTAAATCTGGGCAAATCACTCACATGCAGTCTTCTGAACCTTCTACCAAATTTCCTTAAAACTTCTTGAGGAAAATTCTCTCCAAAGGCTCAATAAATCATTTCTCATGGATTTCCCTAATAAAACACTCAATTTCTAAAAAAAAAAATTATCAAATGCATTTAAATTCACCTAAAGATGGGAAAGAGCACAGCACCACAGATCTGGAGCTTGAAGGCATCTCAGGGGCCATCCGATCCAACCCCTACATTTTACAGTTGAGGAAGCTAAAGCAAAAAGAAGTTAGAGTTGTACAGCTAGTCATTGTCAAAGGTAGGATTTGAACCCAGGTCCTCTGACTCTACAACCAGAGTTCTTTCCACAGTGAGACCTCAGGGGCTCTCTAGTCTGACCCCTCATTTTATAAATGACTCGCAGATTCCACAGGTATTCAGTGGCAGAGCCCAGATTTCAACCCAAGTTGTCTGCCTTCGACCCAGCACCTTTTCTACTCCACGAGGCTGCAGCTGTCTCTGTTCCCATTATACTTAGCACCAGAGGAGCCTCTCCGTGGCTCTCATTTACAAATTCAGCTGATCCTCAGACTACATCGAAGCTGGGGTAGACAACCCGGGTGATGAGAGGACCCATCAATAGATGGGTATTATATGGGTCAATAGACTCATCAATGAGATTGGCTGAGAGAACTAATATTTATCCCAGAGGAGAGAAAACCGAGCTGTCTTCAGGTATTAGAAGGGCTGCCCTATGAAGGAGGTCTTGGAATCAGGGGGGCAGAATGATAGGAGCAACTGGTGAAAGTCATAGAGAAGCAAAGTCATCAGCGATAGCTTCCTAACAATTAGCGCTGTCCAGAAGCTGAACGGGCTGCCTCATCAGATAGTGAGTTCCCCATCATCGGAGGTATGCAAGAAAAGGCTGAATGACCACATAACAGTGTGGAGGGGATTCTTGCTCAGATGTGGGCAGACTGGATGGACTTTGAAGCTCCTTCCCACTCTGAGATTCTGTGATTCTATGATTCATTCTAATACTGTTTGAAGATGATTTCTGGTGCTGTTTTTTTTTTAATTTTGTCACAATCCTTTAGGGCTGCTTCAATGGCCATTCTTTTTTCATTGTTTCCTAATGCCCATGGAGAAGAAACAACAGGATTTGGTTCCTAGGAGTTATATTCTCCGGAAGTTAAATTTTAGAAGAAAAATGTAGAAGAGAGCAAGATGTCACCAGTTGTGGTAACTCAGTGCTGGAAACTGAATGATGCATGGTGGCTCTCCAAGGGGTTCCTGAGAGAGGCTCCTGGACGAGGGTGTCCACAGAATCAGCCAATCAATAAGCATCTATTAAGCACCAACTGTGCACTAGGCACTGGGCATATGACAACAAAAGTGAAGCTGTTTTTGATGGAGAATTTGATACGGATTCTCATCTTGGAGTTAAGCCCTCTTGCTCCAAATGATCCTTATCTGACATGGCCCTAAACATCTGTAAAATTCCACAATCCAAAGGCCATGACAGTAGAACTAACTGACTTCTAAAGTCCTTTCTACCTCTAAATCCTGTGGGCCTTAAAAACTAGGGACTCAGCAAGTGATTCTGGAGGAAGACGAGCCGGTCTTGGCTGTCGTCTGGCCCATACGTCTCTAGAATGTTCACTCACATGAAAAGAAAGGTTAGTGATTAAAAATTACAAAAAACCTAGCTTCAGGTTTCTCTCTATCAACCCAGCGACATTTGGCTCCTGAGCCCCGAGAGATTCTGGGTACCTGCCAATGAGAAAAATGCCTGTGAACTGCTCTTTCCCCAGTTAAAAATAACCTTAAACCCAACATCAACATAAAAGAAGGTGTCTGCATCAGGTTACATGTTAATGGTGTTTAGGGAGGCCAGGGCAGGGCTGCAGCTGCACCTGGGACCCCTTACACACATCAGCATCCCTTCCTACCTTGGGCCAGTGTTCTGTCCTGAGGCTCACAAGAAGTACTTTGAAAAGAAGTGGGGAAATCACACACCACCCATTTCCTGGCAGTAAATTAAGCCAGTCTTTAAAACATGCCAGAGCTGTTCACTTGCCAGTCCCAGAGCCCAGACACCTGCAGTGGGCTGGGCTTTCAAGGTTGGGGTTTAAAGCATCATAACATCATTAACTCTTTTGAAAATACCTCCCCTCTGCCTGAGTTCATGCTGGACAAATTCAGCTTTTTCCACTTACAAAAGAAGAAAGAAAGAAAGAGAAGAAGAAAGAAAGAAAGAAAGAAAGAAGAAGAAAGAAAGAAAGAAAGAAAGAAAGAAAGAAAGAAAGAAAGAAAAGAAAGAAAGAAAGAAAGAAAGAAAGAGAAAAAGAAAGAAAGAAAGAAAGGAAGGAAGGAAGGAAGGAAGGAAGGAAGGAAGGAAGGAAGGAAGGAAGGAAGAAGAAAGAAAGAAAAAGAAAGAAAGAAAGAAAGAAAGAAAGAAGAAAGAAAGAAAGAAAGAAAGAAAGAAAGAAAGAAAGAAAGAAAGAAAGAAAGAAAGGAAGGAACGAAGGAAGGAAGGAAGGAAGGAAGGAAGAAAGAAAGAAAGAAAGAAAGAAAGAAAGAAAGAAAGAAAGAAAGAAAGAAAGAAAGAAAGAAAGAAAGAAAGAAAGAATGACTTAATCTCCTTGGTTGCCCCACCCAGAGAGAAAAAAAATCACTTCCCTCTCTCACAAGATCTCCTTCTTCACTGGGGAGCCTCTGGAGCCTCAGCCCCTTATTAGGGAGAATGTCCACAAAACTGAGTAGATTCAGATCTCAGAGCACAGAATGAATTTTTAGAATACACTGATTTTTTCAGAAGAAATTTCTCTAATAAGTGAACTCCCAGGATGGGGGAATGGACTTGGAGTCAAATCCCACCAGAGTCATGTACTGGCTGTGTTACCCTGGGCAACTCACTTACCTTCTCTGGGTCACCATTTCCTCAGCTATAAAATGGGGATAATAATCCTTGCAGGGTTGTTGTAAGGCTTAAGTAATAAAATGTCTGTAAAGTGCTTTGCAAACCTAGTTTTCTTACTTTCAATTTTATTAATCTCTCCTTTGATTTTCAGGATTTCTAATTTGGTATTTAATTGTTTTTTTTAAATTTGTTCTTTTTCTAGATTTTTAAGTTTTATGCCCAATCCATCAATATTTGGTCTTTCTCTATTTTATTGATGTGAGCATTTAGAGATATAAAATTTCCATAAGTACTGCTTTGGTTGCATCCCATAAATTTTGGAATGCTGTCGCATTATTATCATTCTCTTTGGTTAAACTATTGATTATTTCTATGATTTGTTGTTTGACCCACTCACTCTTCAGGATTAGATTATTTAGTTTCCAGTTAATTTTTAATCTATCTTTCCATGGCCCTTTATTACATGTAATTTTTATTGCGCCACGATCTGAAAAGAACGTATTTACTATTTCTGACTTTCTGCATCTTATCGAGAGGTTTTTATGCCCCGATATGTGTTCAGTTTTTGTGTAGGTACCATGTGCTGCTCAGAAAAAGGCACATTCCTTTCTATCCCCACTCAATTTTCTCCAGAGGTGTATCATATCTAATTTTTCTAATCTCCTAATTCGCCTCCTTAACTTCTTTCTTGTTTATTTTGTAGTTAGATTTATCTAGTTCTGAGAGGGAGAGGTTAAGGTCCCACGCCATTATAGTTT